AGAGAAAACATCTTATTCCAGACAAGCGTCTTAATCCATGCGTGACTTAACAGGAAAAAGTAAACACCCCCTAATTTCTTACGTCAAGACTCGGGATGAATCTTTACACGCATCCACTAATTTTTTATATTAATTATCGATATATCATGAATTACGCTTCTTAGGTTTAGCAATCCATATATATGTTATGTAATATAAGAATGTTATCAACATTACTCTTCTAACTAACATGAGAATAGTAATTCACATTTTACTCTCCTTATAACTCAATACGGAGTGTCGGGGCAATTTACATCCTAGTATTATTGTAAATATATCAATTTCAAGCCTCTGAGTCAGCATGTTCTTTCCGTCGTATTTCATCTTCCGCAGCCGTCCTCTTTTCTTTCCTCTTCTCTTGCTTTTTTTTTTCTTCCGTCGCCTTCCTCTTCTCTTTCTTTTCTTCCACGGCCTTCCTCTTCTCTTTCTTTTCTTCAGCCGCCTTCCTCTTTAATTTTACTTCTTTTTTCTTCAGCCGCCTTCCTCTTTTAGTTCGTCATCTATTTTGATTGTGACGTTTACTTTTGTCTTTTTGATTTTTTATTTTCTTTACTTTTTTAGTTGTTGATTTCACTTTCGTTTGGTCTGTCTTTCTTTCTTTTTAATTCATTTCCTTTATTTGTTGTTTACTTCTTTCTCTTTTTCATATATTATGCCGAAAACATTAGAAATGAGTTTTATCTTAAACATAAATGAGTAAACCGCCTAAAAAAATGAGTAAAACGTCTAAAAAATGAACATACCAAATGAACTTTTGAATTTTCAATACTCATTTTGTAAATTATGTATGTCCATTTAGTATTTCTGTTGTGCTCATTTTTAAAATGTTTTAGCAATGGACATTTCAAAAGTATCATATTGCATTAGATTTTTATAAGAGTTGATTATAAACACGAGACGACAAATCATGATACTCAATCGCATAATATAATACTCAATAACGGAGATTTGATGCTCATTGAAAATGTCTTGATGCTCAACGAACAAAACTTACAATTTTCATATCAATGCTCATCTTGTAAGTTACATATGCACATTTTGTCTATGTCTGATGCTCATTAAAAATTCATTAATACTCATTTAATAGAAATCATGATTTTCATCAATCTCAACAGAGGATGTTCGGTGTCCAATGAAAATGTCATGATACTCAACTAACAAAGCAACTAACAAATTCATTAATACTCATTTTGTAAGTTACGTATGATCATCTCATACTCATATTCATTATACTTTTAATACTCAACAGAATAAGTGTAATGCTCAGTAAAAGTTCATGAGTGCTCATTTGACAAAAATTGTGATGTTCATCTCAAAATAAGAGGTTTGATGCTCATTAAAAGTTCACATGGGGACATAGATCATGATACTGAATTGCATGCTTCTGATACTCAATAGAAGAGGTTTGATGTTCAATGAAAATGTCTTGACTCTTGATGCTCAACTAACAAAGCTTATGATTTTTATATTATTGCTCATTTTGTACGTTTTGTATGCTCATTTGGTACTGGATGTATGCTCATTTTAAAATGTTAATTATATCAATGCATACTACAAAAGTTGCATGTTTCTAATATTCAATAGAAGATATTTGATGCAGCCCATGCTCTTGCAAGGGCAGCCGTTTCAAGTGCGGGTGGTAAATTATTATTTCATTCTATTCCGAATTGTATCTCCAGTCATGTAGCGAATGATACCTTGATTCATTAATAAAGTTGGTATTTTGAATTGCAAAAAAAATTTGAAAATATTTGATGCTCAATGAAAATGTCTTGATGCTCAATTAAAAAAAGTTACGATTTTCTTAGCAATGCTCATTTTCTAAGTTACACATGCTCAATACATACTCATCTATGCTCATTTTTAAAATGTCATCTGAATTCATATTTCAAATGTACTATATTACATTATATTCACATATTGAAGTTTTATAGTAGTTGATTATAGATATAATTTAATAATTTTTATAAAGGAAAAATAAGAAAAAGAAAGTCGATATAAGATATGAAGCAGAGATCTCGATGCTCAATATCAGACTCCTAATACTCAACAAAATTGGTCCGATGCTCATTAAAAGTTCATTAATGCTCATTTAATAGAAACCATGAATTTCATCTCAATAGAGGATGTTTAATACTCAATGAAAATGTCATGATTTTCAACTAACAAACTTTACAGTGTTCATATCAATGCACATTGTGTAAGTTACATATGCTCATTTGGTACTGATTTTATGCTCATATGTAAAATGTCATATGAATGCATATTTAAAAAGTGTCATATTACATTAAAGTCGTATGTCACGGTTTCTGGTGAATGAGCATTGATGCAATTTTAATGAGCATCAAGCCTATTATGTTGAGTATTAGGAGTCTAATTATTTTGAATATATGTATTGATGTAACATTTTAAATTGAGCATAACATCATACCGGTACAAAATGAGCATACATTACTTACCAAATGAGCAATGATATGAAAATCATAAGCTTTGTTGGTTGAGCATCAAGATATTTTCATTGAATATCAAACCTTCTTTATTGAGTATCAGAAACATGCAATTGAGTATCATGATCTCTACTTCCATGTAAATAATTTAACTCTTATGTGAATCTAATATGATACTTTTGAAATATGAATTAGTATGACATTTTAAAATAAGTATAAAATCAATAAAGCTCGTTTGAGTTTCCTAATGTGTTCAAATGTTCATTTGTTCACACATAACGAAAAATATAATAATTCATATAAAAATAATTTATAGTCGTTCGTTCTCGAATTACAAATATAATTGAGTTCTTTTTATAATTTTTTTACCCATGCATACTTATTTTACACCATACTCATTTTAGTATAACACAAAACTCATGTTTGTAATTAACACACAATATTCAATAAACCTATAAATTTCATCTTAAATTAAAAGTAGAGAAATAAAAAATTAATAAGTAAAATATTTGATAATAGATAAATAAAAAAACTTAAGCATGAAATTTGATTGGAGAAAGAAATAAAATAAAATAAACTGAAACATTTAATAATATTTTATATGATACATTTTCATAATAAATGAATATAACATTAAAATAGAAGATTGCTAAAAAAGAAGAACAAACAAACAAAAACAAAAAAATGAGAATAAACAAAAAAAGAAAAGAAAGAAGAATGTATGTACGTAACTAACAAATCGCTAAAAAGAAAGCAAGGAGCGCGGAGGGCAGGAGTGGAGCATGGCATGCGGCTGAAAAAAGAAACGCTATTCATGCTTCTAATTACAAAAAAGCCCGGTGTACAGATACACCGGGTGTAGGATATAGGATCTGGAGTGTCGGAGTATATATATTTATAATTATAATAATGCATAACATCTTGAGGGTTTTATGGTCAATGACCAGACTTTGAAACCCTTTTATAATAATATATGCACCAAATTGCTCGTAGAAGTAATTTTTTGAAGTTGGGGGAGACCAACTTCTCAAAAAACGTTTGTGCTTGTACTTCTATTTACCCCCTTCATGCACCCCCTAACACTACAATGAAAACCATGCTCTTTTCCTTACGAGAAGGTGACTATTTATAGACAAAAGTACAAGACTTGGGTCTTAAACCCAAAATGCTAGTCATTGTTCTAAAACTCGCTAGGCGCTAATCGGGTGGTTGAGGGACGCCTAGGCATCGACTAGACGGCCGGCTACTCGGCTAGGCCGATATTTTGGTCGACTAGACTGATTAGTCCTCTACAATTAGGGTCACCTAGCGCCTAGGCGCCAATTAATTGGTCCGACAAGGCCAACTTTTTCAACAATGATGCTAGCTAATGAAAAAATAACAAGTGTCCCTTGAATACTTGAAAAACACACATGCTGATGTAATGTTGATGTGGGTCACGTTAGCCTGGTGGAACCGTCTAGTTATACCACTGATGATGTTAGCCCTTCTGATGTAAACTGTGGATGTGTGCTGGTCTACAACACCAAGGGAATGGCTAAATGTCTGACAATGTTAGTACGAAATTCTGGAATGATAATCATTAGGGTCGACCTCATTGGCGTATCAATAATTTAAGAGACCTCATTGTGGTATCAATGATTTTTAGATGAGTTTCTATCTTTGAATTTTGAAATATTTTTAATCTAGAAACTCAAAGATATGCTAATTATCAATTAAAGTCCAAAAAGATAAAAATTATGTATATATAAGGTCCGAATTATCTATTACCTCCGTAACATATATATCTTCTTGTTTAAAAGTAGATAAGATTAAGAATAGTGAAAAAAGTGAATATAAATTATTGAGGGTATGATGAGAAGATAACCAGATAATGTGTTGGAAAGAAAGATAAATCCAAAAGGGAAAATGTGCAAATAGGCCCATGTACTAACCAAAAAAGGTCAAATAAGCCCTTATTTTGGAGGCTCTGTCCGGCCGTCGCCATTTGGGGTGGTTCCCGGTGAAATATTTTGATGAAATTTTTTGAGCATCTTATTCATCAAGTCTAGTTTACTCATACCAAATTTCAGCTAAAACTTCAATCGGGAAGGCATTCAAATAAATTCTTCAAAATAACTGCGCAGTTAGAAGCGCATTTATCTTCAAGAATTCATTTGAATGCCTTCCCGATTGAAGTTTTAGCCAAAATTTGGTATGAGTAAACTAGACTTGATGAACAAGATGCTCAAAAAAATTCATCAAAAAATTCCACCAGGAACCACCCCAAATGACGACGGCCGGACAAATCCTCCTAAATAAGGGCTTATTTGACCTTTTTTGGTTAGTACATGGGCCTATTTGCACCCTTTCCCAATCCAAAAAAAGTAGTTGTAATAGTGTATTATTTTCAAAATTATTGAGGGTATGATAGGAAGATTTATAAATAAGAAGATATGAATGTTATAGCTAAAAAAGGAAAATAGGAAAATGTTATTTTAAATTTTTGATACGAGTATACGACAATATAGCAGTATCTTATTGAAACGAAAGGAATTGCAGATCTTTGAACTTTGAGCTTCTGCATAACCGAGCTGAGTTTAAGATTCTCATTTTCGAACTTTGAGCTAGACTGGCTTCTGAAAGGGAGGGGTTTATGATCCGGTAGTAAGAGGAAAGGAGATGTCTAGGGTTCACAAGAATTGGGAGCGGTTGGTCCGAGCCACGCTCCGGAGGGAGCAGCTCCGGCAGAGCGGTCCTGGGCACGGGAGGTCTCCTAGCGGCATCGCAGGTTCCGTTCCGGACTCACTCCAGCGCTCCACCAATATTAATGCCATCCTCCAAGCAGCCGATGAGATTCAAGATGAGGACCCCAACGTCGCCAGAATTTGTGAGTACCTCTCCCCCTACACTAGTTTATGCAACCTGCTGTACTTTTACTTCATCCTTCAGCATTGCATTGTTTCGCTTAAATGGTTATGCATGTAATTTTTCTCCATACTTCTGTATTGCATTCTTTGGCTGAAACAGTTAGGTATTTACTGGCTTATCCAGGGGTAGTGTTCAGCTGCCACTTCTCCTGTAACTCTAGTGTGTATATATGGTGGAACCCTAAACTCTATTGATGATGGAATATACCATCTCCGTTCTTATTTAGCTGCAACACTTTGAATTTTAGATTTGCACTTAATTGAAAAATAGTCAAAAGTGTAAAAAATCATATTTTGAGATTTTAGTTTACTACAAATTATATATACTCTGTACATTTTAATTTTTTTATACATTAATAAATAAAGTATAGCCACGATAAAGTATATGAATAGTGTTACTACCAAAGTGTTGCAAATTTGCAATTTTAAAAGAACAGAGGAATATGCCTATACGTGTTATTCCTTGTTTAGATACGCAAAAAGCGGGCTAATTCTCTAGCATGATTTAGTGCATCTTTAGTTACCTTGTTTTTTGGGGTTTAAAGATGCATCTTTAGCGCATCTTTAGTTACCTTGATTTTTGAGTTTACCACACTGATTCCACACTTAGAATAGTTTGTAACAGAAAAAGTAAGAGGTGAAGGTAGTTATTGTTTGATTGGATGAAGAGGTACATTTTAACTATTTTTCTACTTGAATGTCAGTCTCTCTCTATATACATATACCCACTCATAATATATATACACACACAAACATATATCTGTGTGTGTACACAAGGTTTGAAAAGGCGTAAACGAGCCTGAAGGCATTTTTGCTTAGCCTCAATAGGTGTAAGTCTCACGTGCTACATAGAAATTATAAATATAGAGGTCTTAAATGATATAGATGACTGCCTAGGGCATACCTAGAGCTTAGTAATGTTCTAGTCCAGAATTCATAAAAATAACTTAATGTTCAAAAGTTTGATGTTCTAGAATACATAAAAATAACTTAATTTTTCACTTCTACTCCATGCCTTCAATGGTGATCTCTCTTTTGGGTTCTCCATTCCCACCATGGGTCCTGGTTTCTTTATTTCCTCCCTTTTTCGTAGAACCATCGAAAAATAGAGAAGAAGTGCAGGGGAAGAAGCATAGGAAGAGGCGATGCGCTGACACCTTACGATTTCCAACTTTACATTTTATATATTAGAAATTTTAATTTATTAAGCTGTGATTCTCTTCTGGCTCAATTATTTTTCCAATTTCCATTGCATAGAACTTATTTTGTAAGCTTAAAGCAACCGAGAGAGAGCAGTCTTGTTTGGCCAGGACCTTTAAAAATACAGCTCATATATAGAGCCCAAGGCATGTGCCTCACCCGCTTCATGAAGCGCCACCTCAAGCTGGTAATGCGTTTGCTTATCGCCATCTGAGAAAGGCTGCCCGAGGGTCATATTTATCCATTCCTCACTAAGGTGCAGCTCAACCTCTTTTTTAAACCATGTGTATACACACTTTTGGTTCCTGATGGGATCTCACTTGACCACACTTTTGGTTCCTGATGGGATCTCACTTGACCACACTTTTGGTTCCTTACGGGGATCTAACTTAACCTGCCATGAGTACATAACCCTTTGTTGAAATCACTGTGCCTCCCATGATTCAAATTATGAAGTTACTTGGTTCAGTGATTGTTTAAGTGACCTGCCTATAGGACCAACAAGGTGTTTCAACAACAATCCAACGATATCACACTAGGTTTGGATTTGTTCCGGGCTTCTATTTGAGATCTAAAACTCTTGATAACTCGAAAAAAGAGCAAACTGAAATTCTTTTATTAATCTAAGTTAGTGCGTGAAATGATAAGACACAACATGATATATATTGGTAAATTGGAATCAGCTTATAAAGGTCTAGTATCACTATAATTAGGATAGTCCCAAAACAAGTAAGGAGCTGATTATTAATCTTGCCAAGAAAGCATTTGGTTATCTAATGATTAAACTCAAAAGTATTAAATAAAAATAGTAAAAACCGAAATATTATTGGAAAAAGCTTGAGATTAGTCCAATTTTGGCCCAAGTGTTCCCAAGTAGACTTCCATTCCAATTCTTCAAAAATGGGTCTTCTTGACTTCTTTTAGGCCTACAATCATTCCAAGGCAACCAGCTCTTGATTACATGCTTCACCTTTGAACCCAATGTGAAACAATTGAACAGAGCAGGAAAGTATATTTTGGGCCCTTGTTTAGTCCAACTTCTTGATCTAATTCGTTGTACTAAAAGAATAATAGCTTGGTAAGCGTGAGCCTCTTGCGCCTTGCGGTTCTAGAAAAAGTGTGTGCCTCAACTTCACCTGGCCCTGATGGCTGTGCCTAGGACAGTTTTGCGCCTTGTGTGCTTTTGACTACATTGAGCAAGTATTTTACTTTAACTAAGAAAGTAGCTAGAATTTTATTTTGGGACATCTGGGTAAGGAAAACAAGAAGTTTTTGCAAAGATGATAGGAGTATTGTCAAAATGGAATTATTTATCAAATTGTTACTGAGTTGACTTTATCTGTATTAGTGTGTGAGCAGGCATATTCCATGGCACAAAATTTGGATCCAACCAGTGATGGCAGAGGTGTTCTTCAGTTTAAAACTGGCTTGTCGTCCGTTATTAAGGTAACAAAGTGATCCACACTGGAACTTTACTTTTTTCCATAGCAGGTTGTTTGAGCTCCATACTGTTTCACTGCAGTAAAAGAATTTTATTAAAGTTGGATATTTTTCATAAGCACATATTGATGAATTGATAATTTTTATGTTATCATTAAATATAGTTTGTGTTAGATTCTTATATGTTTTTTACATTTATGTTTTCTTCGGTTTGCATACGTCTGGCGGTAAAAATTGAATTTAAATTTCTAAATATTTCATACAGCAAAAACTCGCTAAAAGGGATGGGGCTCCAATAGACCGGAATCGTGATATTCAACGGTTGTGGGAGTTTTATCAACAATATAAACGGAGAAATAGAGTGGATGATATCCAAAGGGAGGATCAACATTTGCGTGAATCAGGGACTTTTAGTGCAAATTTTGGAGAGTATGTATTTCCTCTGCACTCATTCTTTCCCAAGCATCCAATATATTACAGTTTAGAATGCAAAACAGATAAATTCACTACACAAATTTCATGAGAGAGTGAGTGAGAGAGTTGTTACGTAGATAGTATGGATACTTTTACATACAACACATATGCATACATACCAAGTCCTGCAAAAATCAGAAGTAAAAGCATGGTAAGTTTGTGCTAGATGTGCAAAAACAAATGCTGATAGCACTTGTAGTGTGTGCTATAATATCAATACCCACTCATGATGGGGTACATTTGTAAATAGGTCCAAGCTTGTCACAAAAGTAATATCGTTGGACCTTTGAGAATTTTAATAAAATTATCCATGTACTAGTTATTTGAGCCAATAAATCAGATACTTTCTCTCTAGAAGGTACTCCACCTCAAATAAAATGACAATTTACTTAGATGCAAGGTTTCAAAAGGCTAGTTGCCCGTACAAGACATGTTAATTTTACGGGACAAAACAATTACCAACTGTATTTCAGTCACAAAATAACTAAAATGCCAGACTTTCAAAATCTTCCGGATGGGTGAAAGGCAAATTTCGATAAACCAAGCAAAGGCTGGAAATATAGGTGGCAGTACGGGCTGAGAAAGGACGGACTACTGAAAATAGAGGAAATAGTTCGTGCTGAGAAAGGACTGACAACTGAAAATAGAGGAAATAGTTCGTGCAGTAACCTTAAAGAAAATACTCCGTATAAAAGAGAATTCTGTATCTGAGGACTCAGATACAGAGGACACTCAGGCGAGGCAGTGGGTGATATCCGACCAAAACTCCGACAAGATACAAGACGACACGCGCCGGCGCGTGCGGCGGTAGCCGTGAATTTCCGGCAGTGTGTGTTCCTCTGCTGTGGACTTTAGGTGTCTGGTCGTCGGTGGAAGGAGTACCTTCTGAAATCAGAGGTGAGACAAGCGGATTCCGGATACCATGGTTGTTCTAACTTTAAGAAGTTCAGAGCTGAAGGCTGAGGTTCTGGGCAACGAAAAAAATATGCATACAGAGAAGCTACAAGATCTGGAATGATGTTCTGAGTGTCATTAATACCATGTTACTCCGTAAAATATAAACTAGAATAATATTGAAGAGAGGAGAAATGAATTTTGTGTGTCTTTCATTGGAGGGTTAAGGCCCTATAAATATACATTACAAAGTTAGAATATTCTTATAAGATTACATACAATAATAATATCCTAGAGTATATTCCTAAAATATTCTAAAGCATATTCTTAAGTATATTCTAATATCTTTCACAATTTTCAGTGGAGCCAAAGACTCACTATTTTTTCACATGGGAATATCATGTAATAAATCTAAATGACCCACTAAACTGTCTACACTTTCTTTGTTATGAAGCAAGAATCAGTCCATGCAATTTTCGGCGCGATTTTAATCATGAGTCATCTGAAAACAGTCTCTCTTTGCGGCACTGGAGTAATGTTGTTGTTGATGTGTAATCTTCATATATGACAACATACATGTCTTTCCCTTGTTAGTTACTTTCATTAATGAACCTTGTCTTTTTAAACCACCTATGCGTCCCATGTCTTTTTTACTCATACGGCACATACAAAACATAAATAGTTACGGAAATTGTCCTAAATAGGACTAATGAGTTCCTAAAAAGCACAAATAGGACTACTACTTTTAAAATTCCCTAAATAGGACTAAACATTGATTTTCTACCCTAAATACCCCTAAGAGTATTAATTCATAATGAAATGCTTTAATTCATAATAAAATCATAAAAAACGTAAAAAATATTTTAAAAACGTAAAAAAATTATAAAAAATTTATAAAAAATTTATAAAATAAAAAAATTAATTTTTTATTTTTTTAATTTTTTAAAAAAAATAATAAAAAATAGTAAAAACCCATAAAAAATGAAACAAAATATGGATACATTTCCCACCGCCTCCCGCCGCCTCCCAACACCACCACCTCCGATTGGTGAAATTTCTTCCACTTTTGGTAAAAAAATGCCATATTTTTCTGAAAATGCCAAAAAGATGGCATAATTACTCTTCAATATGCCAACATTTTCATTGAATATGCCATCATTATGGCATTATTTAAAATGTTGGCATATTTTTCTCCGGTGATGGGAGTTGGTGGTGCTGGGGGTGGCAGGGGTGGTAATGTTTTTTTTTTTAATTTTATGATTTTTTTTATTTTTTTAATTTTTTTTTAAAATATTTTTTTTATTTTTTTTAAAAATATTTTTTATTAATTTTATTTTATTTTTTTACGATTTTTAGTATTTTTTTCGATTTTTATAATTTTTTTTATGATTTTATTATTAATTAAAACATTTTACAAGTTAGAAGGGTATATTTGTCCAAACACACATAAATAGTCCTATTAAGGGAATTTAAAAAATGTAGTCCTATTTGTGCAATTTTGCCACTTTTTAGTCCTATTTAGGGAATTGACTCATTAAAATAGTTACATACTTCCTCTGTTTCATTGGATTTTGCCAACTCTCTTTTTTGTTTGTCTCAAAAACTTTGCCACTTCCCCTTTAAAGTAAATAGTTTGTGGTTCTTCTATTCCTCTCTCCTCTCCAAAACTCTCAAGCACACAGCTTTATGTTTCTTATTTCACTCCTAACACAAACTTGACGATGTCTAATGGGATGGAGGTAATATTTAAGAAAACACATGTGTTTTAGTAATATTTGAGTATTTTTCCCTTAGAAAATCCCATAATAAAAAATTTACAGTTAAAGTTAGTTCAATGTTATGATTTAGGATATTTTAAAAAAAATATATACCTCTTTGTTATACAAAATCCATTACACTTGGTAGCATGCATTAATTGTTTCCACTAGGATTCTAATTTATGAACTTCATATTAATATATCATGAACTCATGTTACACTGTGCTGAAAATTTACAAAGTGACTTTTGGTAAGGATATAATTAGTTAATACTTAATATGTGCCGGTTTCAGGTTAGACCTTCAATTTTCCGAAATGAGGAAGGTTTTTGCTATCTTGAGGGCACTCGTTGAAGTGATGGAGGCACTAAGCAAAGATGCAGTTCCAGAGGGTGTGGTAAAACTTGTAATGGACGAGGTATATGCCATTGCTTCTGCATCTTAGGAACCATCTTTCAAGATTGTTTTTGCTTCATCTAGTTATATTCTGCAGTTAATTATTTTCCCCAACATATTGGGGTTTCAATGGCGATTCTTAAATTTTTCTACAACAATATGCTATTGTGGATGACTACCTCTCTCTCACATGGTGTTTGATGATCAGTTGCGAAGGATAAAGGTTTCGGATGCTTCTTTATCGGGGGAACTTACTCCATACAATATTATTCCTCTGGAAGCACCATCACTTACCAATGCTATTGGATTTTTTCCGGAAGTAAGTAAACGACATAGATTTGGATACTCCTTAATTTTTGTTTGATTTAGTGGTCTATGCTAGCCTGATGTTTGTGATTGGTTCGAGCTTATTAGATCTCCTGAAATCAACTTATGTTTGTACAAGTATACCGCGGAAACCTTAACACTGACCCCACTCTAGTTGTGTTGGGCTTAGCCCACCTAGTATAGAAACCCTAATATGTACATATATACATAATATATATATACACACATGCACACACATATATAATACTTCCTCCGTCCCAAAACGGTTGGCCAAAGTTGACTTTCACGTGGATTAATAAAGTAAAAACTGTGTGGTTGAAATTTGTGCAGAAGAGAGAATTAATTTTAGCCACATATTCCTTACTTTAAATGGAAATGACAAATCTTTTTGAGACATCCAAAAAAGGAAATTTGGCCAACCTTATCGGGACGGAGGGAGTATAAAATATATGAGTGCTTTTCCTGTCCGGCCAGGCCGGACAGGTCCCTGGTCCGGCCACCTCAATTTGAGGTGGTTCCCGATGGTATTTTTTGCTGAAATTTTTTGTGCATGTTCTTCATCAAGTCTAGTTCATCCATACCAAATTTGAGCAAAAAATTCAATCGGGAAGGTCGTCAAATGATTTTTGCAAGTTAACTGCTCCAGAATATGCATATAAAACACAGTTAACTTGCAAAGCTCATTTGACGACCTTCTCGATTGAGTTTTTTGCTCAAATTTGGTATGGATGAACTAGACTTGATGAAGAACATACACAAAAAAATTCAGCAAAAAATACCACCGGGAACCACCTCAAATTGAGGTGGCCGAACCACCCCCTGTCCGGGCCGGACAAGAATATTTCTCTATAATATATATATATATATATATATATATATATATATATATATATATAGAACAAAGATCAAATGAGAACATAACTTAACGTGAGAACACCATATTTACCCCAACGTGTTGCACAATGAAACTTGTATATTGCACTTTTTCACGTTTATACAATATTTACCAAAATGCCACTGTGTTTATTTAATATGGGCTTAATTCGAGCTAATTGAAAATGTGCGACAGAATAGCTCCAATGTGCACCACATTGATTTAAATATCAGTGTTCTCACGTTGTCATGTTAAACATCGTTCTCATTGGAACCGCACCATATACATATATATATATGTCAGTGTTCTCATTGGAACTACCAAATGGCCTTGGCGGGATGGCGGGTTTTGTCAGCCTGGCCTGATATGAATTGCCCTATATATGGTGAGGGTTCAAACAAAAAGGAGCCTTAACGTCTAAAATAAGAATTAATTTTAGCCGTCCAAATTGTCAATCTGATGCACTTTTCCAACATCTAGACGTGGTGACATTTTCGTAAATATTGAAAAAGTGCATCAGATAAGGTTTAAGGTTTACCGTGTATCAGATTGACTCTTTGGACGACTGAGATTAATTCTTATTTTACACGTTAAAAACATTGATTTATTTGATCCCAACTATATATATATATATATAAATATAGACTTCTTGTATAGATACATATATAGCACGCATATCAACAAAATGCATGTGTTCACATGGTATTAGACCCACATATATTGCAAACCTAGGTGTTGTTTTGTTCTTCCGGTCTGGACTCCGGCATAAAATTCCGGCATATGTGTTCACATGGTATTAGACCCACATATATTGCAAACCTAGGTGTTGTTTTGTTCTTCCGGTCTGCACCAAAACCCCTTGTGATATAGTTTTTTTGCAGATTAGCCCATGTAAGTTAAAAAATTTGTCAAACCCTTGGGTTATAATTAATTATGCACAAAACATCCTGAAGTAACAAATTTAGCAATTGAAATCACGTATCTTAATGTTATGATTGAACATTCAAGGACGTTTGTCAAGATCTCTAAATCTTACAAAAAAACATTAATTACTTTTTTTATTCGGCAATTTAATATGTTCTTCGAGTTGGTTTTTCACATGGTTAATTACTACCTCCGTCCCGAAAAGGTTCACCATATTGACTTTTCTTGGTTAATGATGACAAACTTTGGATAATGATTTTAAATATTATATTTGTATATAATTTATACTCCCTCCGTCCCATAGAAAGGTTATCACTTTTCTCTTTTGGACGTCACATATAAAGGTCCCCATTTCCATTTTAGGAAACCATTAACAATCTTAAATGACAAATTAATTATTAAATATTAAAAATAATACATTTTAAACATCACAGTTATCAACACTAACTCCATTATATTATGTACATATTAAAATTATATCTCAAAATCTAGTATGCCATGAGAGGACTAAACATATATAGGTTGATTTTCATTTCATCTGTTAAAAGTTCATGAATGGACATATTGCTGCAAGCTATGTTGATGCAATAGGTTAACTTGTGGATATGTTAAACGAGTAGTCATGAATAAACTTACAAAGTCAATCCAAGAAGATCTATCGTAGTGCATGCTGTTTGCTGATTGATGAGGCACAATCAGATAGCAAAGCTGGAAATGTGGTGATAAACTTTGGAGAACAAGGGTTTCTGACTAAGTATATGGAGTGCAAGTTCGGTAAAGGTAGAAGCAACAATAATAGTGAGATTACCCTAGATGTGAGGAGATACTAGTAATTGATATGTTCAGTTACTTGGGCTTCATAATTCAAAATGACGGTGAACTAGATGAAGTTGTATCCCCGTAGAACCAGAAGAGGGTGGATGAATTGAATGAGTGCTTTAGGATTTCTATGTGATCGAGATATGTCGACTAGACTGAAGGGTAAGTTTTATCGGACAACACTTTGCTTGCATTACTATATGACATAGAGTGTTGCGAGGCGAAACATTGTCACATTCAAAGGATGACTGTGGGTGAGATGCGCATGTTGCATTGGATGTGTGTGCATACTCAAAAAGATCGCTTTGGGAATGATATAATCAAACAAAAGGTGAGATTAACACCTATTGGAGATAAGATGTGAGAGTCTTGATTGCAGTGGCTTGGTCATGTGCTTAGAAGATCGAGTGATGCACCTCTTAGATGACTTGAGAGGTGGGGAGGATAGGGAGAGGAAGATCCAAATAGACCTAGATTAGAGGAGTGAGGAGTGATATGCTTCTTTTTTGGAGAGAGCAAAGTGGAGAGAGAATATTCGTGTGGAGTATCGATCTCTTTTCATCATTTTATCCTTTTATCTGTTTATTTTCTTTATCCTTCATATTTTCGTCCTTTTATCCTTTTAGTCTTATTTTTTAGTTCTCTTTATCTTATCATTTTTATCTTTATCTTATCTTTTTCTAATATTTTTTATCTTATCATATTTTATCGTTTTATCTTCCTTATCTTTCTTACCTTTTTAGCTACGATTTCATGTGTCGATTCAGGTTAGTCGACCCCAAACTCTTTTGGGATTAAAGCTTGGATGTTGTTGTTATGAGTTAGGTGCATATGATTTATACTCTCCAACTTGTGGGAGTGTGGAAACCCTAACATTGACTAACCCCTAGTCAGCTAGTCTTGTTGGGCTTAGCCCACCTAGTATAGAAACCCTATTTTTTCCTATATACAAACCTCTTGTATAGATATAGTATGCATATCAATGAAATGCTAATATATTCACACTCACATAGAGAACTTGATATTGTTCTCAGTTGCTACCCGTGGTGAAATTTCATTCTTCTTGTCGGTGCTTGAAAGACATTGCTAGTAACCAGTATGTCACTTTCTAATATAATAACTTGTGTGTTTACTATAGTTTTTGTGTTGAGTATTCTGTTTAGGTCAAAGGCGCAATGTCAGCAATCAGATATACAGATCACTTTCCTCGGCTGCCATCCAATTATAAGATTTCTGGTCAACGGCATTTAGACATGTTTGATCTATTAGAGTATGTTTTCGGTTTCCAGGTACGGTGGTGTTTTCACGCCTCTAATGTATATCTATATAGTGCGATTACCCATCATGTGTTTGAATCTGGAAGTCAAAGTGAATGACCTGTTTCTTGTTTACCTCAAGTGGACTTGATATAAATTCCTGATGCTGTTACTTGTATATTTCTATATGCTTTATTTTCCTTTTATTTGAGTAGTATATGAATGTAAAGCCCCTCTACCATGCATTGTGGTACTGAACGCTTTAAATTAGATGTATTAGTTCTTCTGCTTGGCATTGGTAATCCTTTCACAAGCATGCATATTTTATTTATGACTAATTATTAAATTATGACGTATGAATGTGATTTTAGTCAGATAAGCATATTCCTAGATACATCTAGTGTCTACTCTCTATCCCTTTATATGGTGGTCCTTCAGTTACTTATTGACTTGCACCCAATCCTTTTGCCAACATTTTTTGTAGTGTACAGTGCAAAATGTTGCAACTTTGATGTGTAAACTCTGAATAAGAAACCTGATTGGGAATCTCCGTCTTTTGTAATTTTCATTGCTTTAAGTAACCTGATTGTAAACCTTAATTGCTTTTTTAATCATCGTTCATCCCCCCTCATTTAGGTAAAGTAGATTGTGAATATTGTAACTGAGAGTTGGCAATGGTCTATAGTGCAAGAGAGTATGCCACAACATCACCTTTTGTTGTTGTTGTTGTACGCGTTCGTCTTCTCTTGTAGATTACACAGCTTGACTTTATTGCACTTTAGCTATAATGCTATCATCATGTATTTCTATTCTATGTTTTGTTTAGTTAAAAACCTTGCTAAAATTTTACTCACAATTGAGTGTATGATATGAGTTTTTGTATAGACAATTGGACAAAATTTGAAGTATATGATTGAAAAGCATAAGTTTAAAGCGTGTAGCCTAAGCGACCTCTATATTTGCACTGAAATACATAATTACATACTGGGTATTTCTCCGCTGGAAAAGTATCATAAGTCTCTTATTGATTAAATTTTTCATTCTTCTTCCAGAATAATTATTTTGAGCTTAGTTCGTTGTGTTTTTTTCCCCAGAAGGACAACATAAAGAATCAGCGCGAGAATGTAATCCTGACTGTAGCCAATGCACAATCACGACTTGGTATTCCTGTTGACGCTGATCCTGTGAGTTATTTAATTGGGCAAATATTAATTTTTGATAATCTCTACCCTACCGTGAAGGCGTGAATGTATTTTACACTTGAGTTAGGGTTCAATGTAAATGCTGCTTTTACCCATCAGTTTTTGTAAAACAGAGATGTTATGTATAACTGATCGGATGTTTTCTTGAACTATAAATTATATCAATGATGCCACATCATGATTAGTTCCCATTGAATGTTTTCTAACTTTTTTGTCTTATATCAGTCAAATGAATCACATTTTCTGTGAAAGACCATCCTATTTTTGGTGGATCTGCTCATAATTGAAAAGCAGTCCAAATGTTACTTTGGTTGAAAATTGAAATGATGAGAATTGAGAAATACACTCTAATCCCCATTTTAGGTAATCCTTCGTCCCTTAAAACTGTCATCTTTGAATTTTTTGGTCAATCAAGTTCAACTTTGACCAATTATATATTTTTACAGGAAGTTATTTATAATATAAAAATGATATGAAAATATTCTTTGTTAAAAATACTTTCATAAAAGTATAAATTTATAACTTCCCAAATATTATACTAATCAAAATCATGGTCTAAACTTTACCACCATTGACTTGAAATGTCAAAGATGACAAAGTTTTAAGGGACTGAGGTAGTATTATTTAGTTTGATTTTATTTCTTACTTTTTGAGGCAGGTAAGCCCGTTCTACCCTCGGCAAAGTTGGCCCATTCTGCCAGCTTTACCCTCTGCAAATGCTTGTTATTGTCTTCTGTAAAACTGTCTTTGAAGCAGATGGATACACAAATGTTGTGTGTCTTCCTAATTAATTGATGATTGACATATTTTAGTCATACTTGATTGCTCCATGCATTTTAAATGTTTTCCTTTGTCAGAAAATAGATGAAAAAGTTATTACTGAGGTCTTTCTAAAGGTGCTTGACAATTACATCAAGTGGTGTAGATATTTACGTGTTCGTCTAGTGTGGAATAAGTGAGTTGTTTGCTTCTTCTCGATTTTATGTATAATATATTGATAAAATCATTCAGAACTAATTTTGCCTGAAATGATCTTTGGATAGACTGGAAGCTATTAACAGGGACAGAAAACTATTTCTGGTCTCCCTCTACTTTTGCATTTGGGGTGAGGCAGCAAATGTTCGTTTTCTTCCCGAATGCATCTGCTATTTATTCCACCACGTAAGTATGTAGTACTGTTGATGTAGTTTTTACTTTCCAAGCAATATGATTCTTTTTGGATTTGCATGCAAAACTTGTGGAAGCTTCTTCCAACTTGGGTATATTTATCTTGTCATGGATGTGTGCCATGTGTCAAATTTTGAGGACAATTACAGTTTTTCAATGGGATGTAAATGTTTGAGTCTTTTTGGGCTAAATGCAGCAGGATCTTAACCTTTTTCTGAACTGCTAACTGTGTGTATTCATGTTTTTGAATCTGAAAAGTGGAAGCAGTACTCATTGTACAAGTATGAATCATCTCAAAGATGTGAAAAACAGTTATGTTATCTCCATATTGCACAATGAATTAAAGATCTAATAGAGAGGATTCATAGGGAGCAACATTCAACTGCTGCGAGTTTCGATACATTTTATTGGTTAATTGATCAATAATAGACTTTCAACTTGAAACGTTTATAGCCTTCAGATGAAAGTTTATATTCTGTGTTCTTTTAACCAAGAGTTTCGTTTATGGCTTTCTACGCTGACTTGTTTGGTGCAGATGGCCAAGGAACTGGATGCTGCATTGGATCACGGAGAAGCTAATCCTGCTGCAAACTATATTGGTGAAAATGGTTCTGTTTCCTTCCTGGAACAAATTATTCAACCCCTATATGAAACAATGCAAAAAGTAAGTAACACTTTACTCATCATACTTTAATTTTTAGAAATAAATAAAAGCCAATTTCAGTTATTATATTTTAATAGCACTTTCTACCATCAGCCATAGTGCCTACGTCCCTAGCAAGGGTAGTACAATTAGCAGATTGTGTAACAGACGTCAAGTTGATATTACCATAGCTAATACACTTCTACCAGCACAAATAGAAAGATTAGAAGAGATGAGCTGGACTCAGAATCCAGAGCCCACCCCTATTGAGAGCGTCGACTTTACTCCAAAAGTCTAAGCCGGTTATCAAATTACTCCATACGACAATAACACAATAACAAGTTAACAAGGAACAAGAAGAGGACATCATTGACTAAGATGACATATTGATTAAAGTGCTACGGGCGTGGTGGGGGATGAAAAATAAAAAATAAAATTAATAAAGATGAAGGAATTCTCCGCCCTGGGCAAGAGAAGCTGGTGCCCACCTTGTGAAGACTCTAAGGAATAACTCTAAAATAATTGGTCATATTATTGATGTATAGATCATCTCTACTTAGAGGGTGTTTGGAATTGGTTCCGCTTCTGTTTCTTTTTTAAAAGCAGAAGCAGAATCAGAATCAGTTTTTCAGATGCTTGTATCCCCCAGCTTCTTAAAAATGCTTCTAGGAGCATTTTGGAGCACTCAGAAGTACATTTGCACTTTCATATAGTTTCATCCAAACACTTCAATATCTCCTTCTGCTCCTTGAAGGAGCAGAAACCGTTTTAGAAAGTGGATCCAAACACCCTCTTATACTAGTCCCAAGAGTCTCAATGGCTCCGTATTAAAGTAACTCTACTATACTTCTATTAGAAATGCTAACTTTACCTATATTATTAAGATATTACAACTCATAATAATAGGAAATTAATACTAATATTAACGAATTTATTATTAATAGTAATCGTGAGAGCTGATGTCATTACCCCCTCATTGAGATCAAGCTTGAAGGAGAGTAGTTTTGAATGTCAAGTTTTTCCACGATAGAATGGTAGGACTGAAAATTCAGCAAGTTGGGATTTGCATCTCAAGAAATGTGTTTGAGGTGTTCGGATGACGGATTGCTAGCAAGATGGATGACCCCGAGTTGACATATGATGTTTCCCAATATAGCCTAACAAACTAAAGACTTTTGTTTCAGTTTTATGGTATAATTCATCTGTAAGAGGAAAGCTATTGAAGTAATGAAGAATGTAACCCAAGTTGAACCTGCAAATAAACATTGGGCGAGCTCATGGGATTGATGAGCTGGACGACAGAAACACCAGATCAATATGCGTGGGCGAAAATCTTCTGTTGGGTCGAGTGGGATAGTGTGTTGTTGAAGCGTACTAAGAGTCTGATAGAAAAAAGAAAAGTTCCGTGCGAAGTGTGAACAACGCAGGGAAGTTTTAGGGAAGGAAAAAAGGCAATATGTAGCTTAGGCATGAAGCTGCATTGAAGGAATATCAAAGAAGGAAAATGAAAAGAAATATAAACTTGCCAAGCGTACATTTATATTGGAGCTGGAAAGCACTGTTTAAGACTTTAAGTTCTTGACCCCACTGGCTATTACTCCTATAAAACTACTGTTCTTTCTGTTTCTTTGACCGTGTTTTTCAGTTGTACAAGTCTTTTATTATATAGCTGTGACTATGATGTTATGTTATTTAATTTATCAATTATTGTTATAGTTTTTAATTCATTTATTAAATAAATATACTAAATAAAAATTTGAAATAATACTTTGATTCTAAGATCTTTAATCTGAGTCATGATCCATCAAGCCCCTTCCGATCCGTGCTAGGATCTTGAGTTTAACAACCTTTCTTAGAAAGACTCGCACATATATCTGTAGAAGATATAATCTCGCATGGATTTTTGCAGGTTTCTAACCATTTCAATTAGATTCCATTTTGTGCCTTAAGTTGCATCAGTACCCTCTTTGTGATAGTAGTTTGTTTCACTTAAATTTTATATAACCATTGTACATTTGTACCCTGAAACGTCCTATAGTTCTATGTAGTTTGCAACATGTTTCCAACTATTAACTCCTATGTAGTTTGCATTATGTTCCAAGAGTTAATTCCATAACCATTGCATATTTATTATTTAGATGTCACACTTGTTTATGAAATAGCAGCCTTTTAACCTTCATGTAATTTTCTTTCCCACACAATAAGAGTAAAGAGTCTATTACATTTAAATAGTTACATGGGAGAACTGCATCTGTTAATATTGGTAATTTAATAGATTTTTTGTTGAGACATTATGTGGAACTTAATTTTGTTGTATTACTCATATCAGTTACTTAACAAGGGAAACCTATCATCATTTTTTTCTGCACAGGAAGTTGCCAAAAACAATAATGGAAAAGCTGCACATTCGAAGTGGCGGAATTATGATGACTTCAATGAATACTTTTGGTTTGGATGACCTGTGATCATATACTAGTATTCTGACCTTTGTTCTCAAACTGTCTTACAGTGCTTACTATGCTGCAGGTCCCCTTCATGCTTTGAGTTGGGCTGGCCTCTAAAGAAGGAGTCATCTTTTTTGAAGCCTAAAAGCAAAATGGTTTGTTTTCCTTCCCTTACCACTGGATCTTTACCAAAAATTTTCATTTTTACATGGGTTAAGGCATAAAAAACCCTGGAACATGTCTAGGAACACTTGTACCCTTAACTAATTTAGGCACAAAAATAATTTACCAAGGTAGATTTTTGTTATTTATAACTACAAGTTAAGGGTTTACTCACTAAATCTATGCGGGATCGTGGATCTTTCATATTTGTAACGCTTGGGGGTTTCAACATTTGTGACCTAGTTTGAGCGTAATATAAGGGACATAGTTGACATGTTTTGGTTTTGACATTTTTAGTTTGGTATATTTATTTATTTTGTAGTTCTGAGAGGGAATATAACAACGAAAAGATGAAAAGTTTTTCGATAAACATCATGTCTCTATCATATATTTTGTTGAATCTTTGAATTTTCGTGCATCATGGTATTCCTTTTTTTGGAAGTGGGTATTCCTTATTCTAACACTGCTATATTATTTATTCCATCATCATCATCATCATCATCATCATTTCCCCAGTGCCGCAAAGGCTCCCATCTATCGTGGGGTAAGGGGGTCGGATGTACGCTACTAAAGAACAAAGAGACCGTTTTCGCCTTTTAGGATGATCCATAATGGAAATCGTGTCGAAAATTGCCTGGACTGATTGCTCCATCATAACAAGGAAGCACAAACAATTTAGTGAGCCATTTTTCTATATTCCATCACACTCTCAAGCCAGAAAATAGTGAGTCTTTGGCTACATTGCAAATGAGAAACTGTAATATTATTTTTTAATATTATTTATCCTCAACTGGTAAGTCTTAATCAGACGTGAAAGAAAAATTAGAAGTATAACGACATAATTGGAGACCAAGGGTTTCAAACTGAGCCGAAGCAGGATTGAGTATTTGGAGTGCAAGTTTGGTGGAGGTAGAAGTAGTAATAGTGGGATCACCCTTGATGATAATGAGATACCAGTGTGTGATATGTTTCGTTACTTGGGCTCCATAATTCAGAAAGTTGGTGAATAAGATGTAGATGCATCCCCTAGAATCAGAGCAACTTGGATGAAATGGAAGAGTGCATCAGGATCTCTATGTGATCAAGGTATGCCAACTAGATTGAAGGGTAAATTATATCGGACACCAATTAGGCCTGCATTAATGTATGGCGTAGAGTGTTGGACGGTGAAACAATGCCACTTTCAAAAGATGAGTGTGGCAGGGATGCGCATGTTGCGTTGGATGTGTGGACGTATTGGTCTATCAGAAAAGATTGCTTGAAGAATCAGATAATCAGACAAAAGGTGGGAGAAGATCGAGTGATGTACCTGTTAGACGACTAGAGAGGTGAGGAGAAGTGGTGGGGAGGAGAGAGAGGAAGATCCAAACAGACTTGGATCAGAAGAATCAAAACTGATATGCTTCTCCTTGGGTTAGATGAAAGTATGACTTTGGAGAGAGCAAAGTAGAGGACACATTGATCTTCTCTCTCTCTCTCTCTCTCTCTCTCTCTCTCCTTTTCTTTTATCATTTTATTTTCTTTTTCTTTCTATGTTATGTTATTTTTATCTTTTATCTTTCTTATGTTCTTTTATTTTTTTTCTTTTATTTTTCTTATGTTTTTATGTTATTTTTATCTTACATTTATCTTTATCTTATCCATTTTTTCTTACTTTATATTTTTTGTTTTTCTTGTCTTTCTTCTCTTTTTGGCTCTGATATCATGGATCAATTCATGTTAGCTGACCCAAAAATCTTTTGAGAACTAGGCTTGGATGTTGTTGTAACCGGTAAGACTTCAGTCAGGTTTGATCAGATTGGTAATGATAGTTGTGTATAACTTCGAATTTTATTTGGCCGGCCCATTTAATAATGATTGAAACTTTATCAGTTTGTTGTTGCTACTGTGGTTGATTCTGCTGCTATGATTATAATAATGATTATTTTTTGATCTTATAGTACTTCTTGGGTTGGATGAGACTTCAGAGTATGACTTTGGAAAGAGCAAAGTGGAGAGAGAGTTTATGTGTGGAGGATTGATGACTTTTTTTTTAATATCTTTTTTATCCTTTTATCCTTTTTACCTTATCTCATATTTTTATCTTTGTTTAATCTTTTTAGCTCCAATTTCATATGTCGATTCATGTTAACTGACCCCAAGCTCTTTTGGGACTAAGGCTTGTATGTTGTTATATTTGATCTTATAAAAGAGTGGGAAATGATGATGCTTGGTGCTATTTGTATTCTTTTTTCAATTTGTGCGTCATGCCATTGTTATATATATATATTATATTATATTATATTATTCTATATATATATATATATATATATATATATATATATCCTTGAATTTTTCAGTATCTGATTATGTTTTTTCTAACACTACTGTTTTATTGGTTCTGAACTGGTCAGACTGGTAAAAGCGCATTTGTTGAACATAGAACATTTCTTCACCTTTACCGAAGCTTTCATCGTTTGTGGATTTTTTTGGTTGTTATGTTCCAGGTAATTATCGGTACTGTGCATTGTCACCCTCCACCAGTAGTAAGATTTATAATTGTACTGTAAACTTTTGAAACATAACCTTTTGATATGCTCTTCTCTTGATTCTTAGGGCTTGACTATTGTGGCCTTCAGTGATCAGAAATTTAATCTCTACACATTCAAAACACTGCTTAGCATTGGCCCGACGTTTGCAATTATGAATTTCATGAAGAGTAAGTTACATATTCTATCATGGTGCGAAAGAGTGTGAGACATGATTTTTTTGTTTTATTGTTTCTCTTTGCTGTCTACCTAGGCTGTTTAGATGTTGTCTTTATGTTTGGAGCTTATGGTACACTAAGAGGCTTGGCTATATCAAGACTTGTTATAAGGTTCCTCTGGACAGGTTTTGGATCAGCTTTTGTATCCTATGTTTATCTGTGAGTCTTTGACCAGAAATCCTAATACTCCTTGATTGTATGATTAAGAAAACTAATTGTTTTATATAATGTAATGTGATTACAGGAAACTTTTAGAGGAAAGGAACAGAAACAACTCAGATTCATTGTATTTTCGCATTTACATCCTTGTTTTGGGTGCTTATGCTGGGATACGCATAGTTTTTGCTCTACTAACCAAGTTTCCTGCTACTCACACTCTTTCTGAAATGTCTGACCAAACATTCTTTCAATTTTTTAAGTGGATTTATCAGGTATCAATCTTTATCATGCAATGTTAGATCTATGTCATGATTTCACTTGGACCAATCGATATAATGAATTTATTGTTTATATTCAGGAGCGATATTTTGTTGGCCGTGGACTAGTCGAGAAGGCTACTGACTATATAAAGTTTGTCCTCCCTCTCTTTATTTGCATTTTTTGGTTGCAAATGCTGTTAATATTTTAAATGTGCAGTTTTCAAGGAAATCAAATCTTCATATTTATTTTCATAGTATATTATTCCCTCCGTCCATGTGTCGTTGCCCAATCTTTCCTTTTACTTCTGTCCCACTAAGCATATTATATTTGATAATACTTGAAGAATAAAATTTCATTGTTTGAGATAAAATACTGCATATAGTTACACTTTATAGGCCTGGACTGACTTAATTAAGTGGTAAATATGTACAAACTCTCCTAATTAATACAAATCTTGTAATTGATATTAGGAAATCAAATCATAGTTAAAACAATTCTTGCAAAAATAAATAAAATATTCTGGTATCACAACAGCAATATTCGTGTGGCTCCCAAAGTCCCATTTATAGTTACTTTATTTGTAGTTCATAATTCGATACCAACCACACATTTTCACTTTTCTTAATAATCATGCAACTTCCTTATGTCTCAATCTTAGTAGGACGTAAGTAGTAAGTAGTACCATTTTAATACAGATATAGTATCCTCTTTATCTAAACTATCTATGAACTTGGATGTGCTCCTCAACAGTCTTGTCCCATGTAGTGTTTCACTCTTTCCATAGCCTGAAGTTTAAGGAAAATGCGCTCTTTCCCGGAACAGTAAATGATACAATCTTTACTCTCTCGGCCATCAAAAATCAAAACTGGTCCATTTTTTGGTCATTTTGGAATAGCAATGAGGGTTAAATAAATGTGTTAAATAAGAATATAGGAAGGAGCCCTTTAATGGAGATCTTCCAGTGTGACACATTGTTTTGCGTACTTTCTTCAGGCCAATAAATTGTATTTTGTTGCTGCAGATATGTACTCTACTGGTTGGTGATCTTCATTTGCAAATTTACTTTTGCTTACTTTCTTCAGGCAAGTCACTACTTCGTTTCCCTCCAATTGGTCTATGTGATTGATTTTTTAGATCATAACAGAAAACACTTGCCACTTAATGATTACAGATTAAACCCTTAGTTCAGCCTACTAGGATTATTGTACATTTTTCTCCGCTGCAGTACTCATGGCATGATCTGGTGTCTAAGCGTAAGCTGTTCATCTTTTTTGTTATTTTTGTAAAATACTTGATTGTCATGAAATATCTTGCTGCGAAACATAGCTTGTGAACAAAAAAGCAAAAAAAGAAATTATTGCTTGTCCATATCTTTGATTAGGTGAAATCATCAATTATAATTGAACAAGTCTTCTGTTACAAGAATTGAAGATAGAAAAATAGTACCGATAAGGAAATGATTTTCTGTGTCTTTATTGAAGGGTTGAAGAACCTATAAATATATATTACAAGATTAAATATTTCTATAAGATTCTATAGCATAATAATATCCTAGAGTATATTCCTACGTATTCCAAAGCATATTCCTACATTCAATCTAAAATATTTCGCTCCCCCTCAAGTTGGAGCATAGATTTTTATCATGCCCAACTTGTTACATAATGATAGAACACTGGGAGAATTCAATTCAGAACAGTAACAATTCTAAGAAATCCAAAGTAAGAACAGATCGAAGAGTTTATTGAGTAGAGAAGAACTGAAAATAGGTAACCGATACAAAGGACGATTCGAGATGCCCAGTCTCCCAGCCTATTTCCCCCTCCCTACTATTTATACTTACTTATACTTATGGGTCAGCCCAATATTAACTAATACCTAGCCCAGGACCCTTTACTACAATATCACAATTATTTATTATACTTCTATTATTATACTAATGGGTTCCTATCATATCTCCCCCCTTGAAAAACCACCTTGTCCTCAAGGTGGGTGATAGGACACAGCCTTGATCTTGAACTTCATCTTCATCCTGGACCCTCTTCCTTCCCAGTATCTCCCAGCTTGCTTGCCCATGACCTTCATTACTTGACCTTTCATCTTCTCATCTTTAACAGCCAACATGGGCAGAAACTGCATATAAGTGATAGAGAAGGGAGAAACGATATTTGAATATATTCTTGATGATTAGAATGAGTTACAATAGCTGCTATTTATACAAGTAGTAATCTCATCTATATGGTAAGTAATAATACAATATTAAATGATAATGATATGCAACGGCTAATATGATATGTAACAGCTAATCTATTTTAAACTCAATTATTCCTTTCCTTCAATACGCCCCCGCAAGCTAGGTATTCTGTCACTCCCAAGAATCCTGAGCTTGTCTCTGAGAAGAATAAAACGTTGCCGAGGGAGCGGTTTGGTGAGGGCATCAGCAATTTGTTCAGAAGATGGGATGTGATGAACTTGAAGAAGTCCGCGTTGAACTCGCTGCCGAACAAAATGAAAGTCAATAGCCACATGCTTCATACGAGAGTGGAAGACAGGATTTGCAGAAGACGTTGTAGCACCTTTGTTATCACAAAGAAGGAGCGGGGGAGAGGGGAGCGGATGCCGCAACTCACGTAAGAGAGACTCAATCCAAATAATTTCTGAAGCAGCAGTAGAAAGAGCTCGATATTCAGCCTCCGTGGAGGACTTAGCAATAGTGCGCTGCTTTACTGACTTCCAAGATACAAGAGACTCCCCGAGAAAGATGGCATAAGCACTAGTAGATGAGCGATCGTCGGGATTCCCTGCCCAGTCAGCATCAGCAAAGGCACGGAGAGAGGGAGAGGTGTTGCGACCAAGGAGGAGGCCATGAGAGGCAGTGCCTTGCAGATAGCGCAAGAGACGTTTGAGAAGCTGCCAGTGATTAACTGTAGGTTTATGCATGAATTGAGCCAATTTATTGATAGCAAAAGCAGCGTCTGGACGTGTTAGATTCAAGTATTGAAGAGACCCGAGAACCTGGCGATAGAGAGTGGCATCACAGGAGCCGGAGCTATCAAACAGAGATAAGGAAGCAGAAGAAGCTAACGGTGTAGCCACAGGATTAGCCTCATCCATTTTTAATATCTTCAACAAGTCCATAATGTATTTGTGTTGATCAAGAAATAGTCCACCTGGAGTAGGAGTAACCTGCATTCCCAAGAAATAGTGTAAGGCGCCCAAATCCTTAATGGAGAACTGCTGGGCCAATGAGTCAATAGTCTGACGTATTAAGGCCGGTGTGGAGCCAGTGACAATGATATCATCCACATAAACCAACACATAGATATAAGAGTGATGGGAAGAAAATATGAAGAGGCTAGCATCAGCAACTGACTGATAAAAACCAAGTGAGAGAAGAAATCCACTAAGAGACTGATACCACACCCGAGGTGCTTGTTTAAGGCCATAAATAGATTTCCGAAGGCGACACACAAACCCGGAACAAATGTCATCATATAAAGGTTCTGCAAGATAAAATCCAGCTGCCCTTGTAGTCACTTCAGCTGCTACATAATAGAGAACAGCAGCAAATTGCTTACCCACAACTTCATCATAATTCAGCAGTCTCTCACATAAGGCAGACATAATATGAGGAGTTTCAGCTTTAAATGGAGCAAAGAACCATCCATTTTTTTACAGCAAGAGGCATGATTGAAGACAATGATTTCACTGGAATAGGTCCAAAAATCTTGTCAAGATTCTGAAATGTGATAACAGCACTGAACTTGTTTATTGCATGCATTTTTCTTTCATCAATGTTATCAAAAACAAATTCATCAAATGAAATTATCTGTGGATCATCCTGCACCCAAGATTTTGCCAAGGTATTCGGGAGTATTATCACACAATCACCCAAATGATCATGGTCCTGATTTTCAGCATGAACAACATCCTTCTCCAACCTTCTATTAGTCAGTATGTAAACCATGTTATCAAAACCTACACCTCCATCTAGCAAAAGAATATAAACTGGTGTCATTCCCTTAGCCTTTTCAGCAATCGTTCTGGCATCAATGGTGGTTTCGGAGCCCTCATAGACTGCTGCTGATTCCTTTTCCTCATCAGTTGGCCATTCTGATAGTGGCCTACTGTCAACCCTCGTCTTACACTCTTCAAAGTAGAGATCTAATTGTTGGTGTGGACTTTCCAGAACCTCAACAACTTTATCCCCCAAACCAGTACATGTCTCGTGATCTGCATACTTCTTCAGAATGTTTTCCTCATCTATTTTCTCAATCTCCTCTTTACAGGCAGTCCAGGCACCAAAATCCAGAGAAATGGTTCTCACAATGTTTTGAGTAAATCCCTTCTTAGCCACAACATAATTCGTGTTTATGCCATGAACACCAGCAACTGAACCAACTACCAAAATAGGACCCTGAGAAACAGATAGGTGTTCAGCAATTGCGCTAGCTTTAGGGACAACTTCAACTGCTGTTTGCTCTTCGCATATGTAGTCTGGATTCGATTCCATGATTACAGATTCATCCGGCTTCGACTCAGATTGTGGAGTTTGTAACGAGGAAATTTGTGCCTGGTGAGAGAAGACTAGTGACGACGAGTTGTGAGGAATGGCGAGTGAGGAAGCCTGCGAACTGGAAACATCTGCTAGCGATGAAGTCTGTGAAATTGGAGAAACAGCTTGTGGAGAAGATAGTAAGCTGGAAGAAGATTTTAGCCAGGAAACCTGCGAACAACTGAGGGAGTCAACTTGCAATGATGAACTGTAAGGAGAAAGGTGAGAATTGACTGGCGAAGTTGAAAGCGGTGCTGGCGATTGATGTGACATCTGCGAACGAGTAGAAGGGACTGGCGATGGCGATGATGAAGTTGGCGATTCGGAAGAAGAAAATCGCGATTGCGATCTGGGGAAACTGGTTGGCAAAGTTGATCCGTGATGAGAAGAGACCGGCGCAGATCGCGAATCAGAAGGCCGACATCGAGATCGAAGCTGTTCGCTCATCGCGGCAATGGATACCGCCATGTTTGCCGCCATGTTTGCCACCATGTTCTTCATTGCTGAACAGTGATCTCTCATCTCTGCTTTCATCTCCTCTATAATGTGTTCCATATTGTCAAAACTCTTCTCCATTCGAGGAGTCATATAGACTTACTCCATAGTTCCAGAATGTTGTTGCTCTGATACCATTGATAGAACACTGGGAGAATTCAATTCAGAACAGTAACAATTCTAAGAAATCCAAAGTAAGAACAGATCGAAGAGTTTATTGAGTAGAGAAGAACTGAAAATAGGTAACCGATACAAAGGATGATTCGAGATGCCCAGTCTCCCAGCCTATTCCCAACTGAATACTTGTCTCCTCCTTATTTCCCCCTCCCTACTATTTATACTTACTTATACTTATGGGTCAGCCCAATATTAACTAATACCTAGCCCAGGACCCTTTACTACAATATCAGAATTATTTATTATACTTCTATTATTATACTAATGGGTTCCTATCACATAAATAATTAACTCGAATCCCATTTAGTGCTTTTGTGAATAAATCGGCAAGTTGTTCTCCGGTCTTCACATCTTCGGTACAAATCAACCCCTTCTATATCTTCTCTTGATTATCACACCACAATTTAGCAGACATTGATGTCTTCAATCCGAATTAACTCAATACATGACTTATCCATATGATCTCACATGCAGATTGCACCATAACTCAATATTCTGATTTGAGCACTCGAATGAGAAACCACATTCTATTTCTTACTCTTCCAGGATACAAGATTACCATCAACAAAGGCTATTACCACGAACAAAGACGCAATAGCCTGATAAGACATTAACATCCAATAATAATAAGAATAATAGAGTATTATTAAATAGGGTGTTATTGTATAAATAAGTGTTCCGGGCCATGTAATTCAGGAAGTATGGGCCAGCCTTTAAGAATAAATTATATAAAAGGGGGGTAGGAGGGAGGAAAAGAGTAGGTAGAAATTAGTTGGGATTGGAACTTGGAGTGCTGATACTACTCGAAGTGTCTCAATCTCTTCTTCTCTTTCTTTCTGTCTATGCCATTGTAATCCAGTTAAGGTTCTGAAAAAAACTTCATCAATAAAATACTAATTTCTAGTGCATCAAATCTAAGATTTAATGGCTCTAAAATCTAAATGTGTCTAAATGTGACATTTTTGTAAATACATCAAATTTTTCTTGTTCCCAATAAGTGGATTTCCTGTGTGCAAAAGTGTACCATGG